CTGTGCCTGGACGTGCTTCCCCTCATAGTGCGTGCTGTCACCTTCTCAGGTCTCAGCTCAAATGTCACCTCCTCAGAGAAGCCACTCCCTCAAGTCAACCTATTTTATTTTCTTTATAGCATTTATCACTCTCTGAAATGATCTTGTTTTCTGTTTATCATCTTTCTCCACTAGAGTGTCAGCTCCTTGAGAGCAGCGACTTTGTTTTGGTCGTTGCTGCTGTATTCCCGGTGCTTACAAGAGTGCCTGGAACACAGCAGGCGCTCAGTAATTGAACAAAGGCACTGATTAACCGCCGTGCCTGTTCACGGGCTGGCTTACACAGAAGAGACATCCAGACAAATAGGCCCACGCAAGAATACACGACAGTCCCTGGGGTCATCCACATACCCTGGGGAGACCCAGAAGCTGGGGACCCCCTGCTCCCGCACCCAGGGTGCCCGGAGGACGGAGAGCCCGAGCTGGGGATGGAGCACTCCCAGGGAGGGGGCAAGATGTTCTGAAGGGAGCCCCGCCCCGCCCTGTATCCCCAGCAGCCAATGGGCGCGCGGCCCTCCCGACGCCCCCTGGGACGTGTAGTCCGGGCAGGGGCGCCCCCGGGCGCCGCCGCGCGCCCCTAGACTCCACGTCCCGTCGTGCGCCGGGAGGCGCGGGGATTGGCTGGGCCCCGCCCCCGGCCCGCCCCGCTCCGCTCGCGCTGCAGCCCCAAGAATGAATGAAATCGTAGCGCGCTGGGCGGCAGAGCGGGCGGCGCAGGCCGGGCTGGGCCCGCGCGCGGCGGCAGCGGCGCCCCGGGCCGGAGGCGGCCCAGCCGAGCGGGCCATGGCTACCGCCATTCAGAACCCGCTCAAGTCGTGAGTGTCCCCGCCGTCCCCGCCCCCGGCCCAGACCCCCCACGAGCCCTTCCCCCGCCCTCTCTAGGGCTGAGAAGGCGGACGCCGCGCGCGGACCTTAGTTGAATGGGGCCCCCCAGCTCGCTCCCCCGCCCCTGGGGGCCCGCCACCCCCTGTTGCCCCCGGGGGTTGGGGGCGGGAGCCCCTCCAGGTTCGCGGGGGCGCCTCTTCTTTGTCGCTGTCAGTGAAGGAATGTGGCGCGGGCTGGGGGGGTGGCGGAGGCCGTTTCCCCACCCAGAGTGGGGGTAGGGGCTTCCCTCTCCTTTTCCTCCATCTCTCCTCCCCAGTGTCTCTGGGGTGCCGGGCCGACCCGGGCAGGAGCTGGAAGCTCAAACACCTAAGTCCGAACCTCCCTCTCCGGGGTTTCCATCGCCCTCTCTCCCCTCATCAAAGCACCTTTCTCTTTTCCCCCCTTTCTCCGGGAACCCCGGCCCTCGCGGCCGCAGGGTGGGAGCTGAGATGCCAGGGGTCCTCGGCTGAATCTCTGCTGCCTCCCCTTTTCCCTCCCGGGATCTTCAGGACCTAGAAGCCCCGACACCACGGCCAGCTTGGACCGCGGCATCCCTCCCTCTGCCCGCCCATGCACATCCAACGAGAGCACCTCCTATCCCCTTGGGGACCGGATGCCTCAGGAGGGGGTGCTGGGAGCGCCCTCGGTCTCCGGGGATTCCCTCCCTTTCTCCCTGTCCGCGTCCCTGCTCCCAGCGTTAGCTTCTTCCTGGGCCCAGTGGCCAGGAACTCGGACGCCTGGGTCCAAACCCAGCACCCCCCGCCCCTCCCCTCTCCTTGCCATCGCTCGCTCTCTCCACCTCTGTCCTCTCTCTCTCTCTCTCCATCTCTCTCTCGCTCCCTCTTCAGGATCCCGGACTCCCGGGTCCCAGCGCTCCCCACCCCCCTTTCCCAGGCGGTGACAGCGGGCTCCGAGTGACAGGCGCACCGGCCGCTCCCGCCCTCCCTCCCTGGCAGGCGAGCGCGGCACTCCCCTCCCCCTCTTCCTCGGCCTGGTGGAGGAGGCGGAGGGCGAGCGCCAGCGGCGCCGCACAAAGGGGCCGGGGCGACCTCCCTCACCCTTCCCCCAACCCCGTGCGCTCGCTGCCTTGACCTTGAACATCGAGTGCTGGGGGCGGGGGGCGAGGGGGCGGAGGAAGCATCCCTCACCCAAGAGTAGGGCTGTGCCTGGTGGCTGGAGCAAAGGCCCCCCAGTCGCTTCTGGTTTCTGGCGGGAGTGGGGGTAGGGGGTGGGAGTCTGGAGAGGAGGATGGGGGGCAGGGACTTACAGGCACGTGCCTACACATGTGGCTTTGCCACGGGCACAGTAGGGGTGGTGGCTTATGGGGCCCAGGTCCGTGTGTGATGGTGACACCCCTTCTGCTTTCCTCTCACCCTAAGCTGGGCACACAGACAGATGTCTTTCCTGTAAGGGACACCCTCAAACTGACTGGGAACAGGGTTCCTGTGCAGGTTGGTGGACCTACAGGCATCAAGACCCCTCACTCTGACCCTGGCTCAGACCCCTTGGAGGAGGTATGGTGCACCCTTCGCAGGGGCCTGGACGCCAGAGTGATCTGCCCTGGGAGTCCCAGGGCCCTCCTTGCCCTCCCTTTCCAGGGGGTCTGCAGGGGTGAAGGGGAACTCACTTGCTCCTGAAACAATGTGAAAGTCAAACCCCCTTGGGAATGGGGACCTGTTCTGACTGCCTGTGTGCCAACCGCAGCTTGAGCTTTCTATTTCCCCACCTCTGAGCCTCAGTCTTCCCATCTGTGAATGGGGGATTATAACACTTCTCGTCAGCTCATGGGGCTGTTGTGGGACTTAAATAAGGCGATCTTTGTAAAGCACTCAGTACAGAGCCTGACCCTGACCAAATGGAGTGATTATTATTAGTGGTATCAGTATTGATTTATCAAAATCAATTTCTACTTCTGGCCGCTGCCACACAGGGCACCGGGGGATGGGGCTAGGAGGATTGCTTGGGCAGGGCAGAGGACTGGGAGTCCAGGTGTGTAGGAGAGTGTGGGAGAGGGTTTGTGAAGGTGACAAGGGTGAGGAAACCTCCCCAAGTGTCAGCCTGGTCTGCAGGGAGAAACCCTGCTGGTGGGCAGCGGCTTCTGGGAGGAGCACAGCCTGTCCGCGGTGGGCTCCACTAGAGCACGCTGAGGTTGAGGGGGCCGGGTGGGGCAGGTGCGAGCAGGGGTGTCTGAGGCTAGAGGTGTGGGGAGCGAGTGTGAGAGGATGTGCTGGGGGCATCTGAGAGGGTGGTGGGAGGTGAGAGAGGAAGGTGGCAAAGGCCCCCTCTGAGCTGAGCTGTGGGTCTGGGGGGCCGGGGATAACACCATAGGGGCTTGGAGCAGAGCGAGCGTGGGGGTGCTTGTGTCTCTCACTTAATCCCCTTGTCATCCTCGGTGCTGTTTGTGGAGAGGGGACAGGGGCAGGTCAAGGCCTTATCCAGCTTAGATGGGGGAGAGTTTATGGAAGGGGTATGAGACTGAGGGTGCGTGCGTGTGTGTGTGTGTGTGTGTGTGTGTGTGTGTGTGTGTGTGTGTGTGTGAGTGTGTGCGCGCATGCGCGGGGCAAGTGACCATGAGTGTGGGAGGTGTTGAGTGGGTCTCATGCTGGTGACAAAAGAGGTGAAGTCTAGCTTGCCCCTTCTGTCTGCTGGAGGGCCCCCTGGTGGACAAGGGCCTGTGTGGGCGTGTTAATCCACGCAAGCCACTCAAACCAGAATGCTAACTCTGAAGGGGGCGTGGGGCTGGGGCTTTGTGTGACTGGGTGGGTCAGCTCACTCTCTGGGGATCCCTTAGGGTGCAGTCAGTGTGGGCGACAGTGGGAGAGAGAAGGAGCTAAGGCCCACTCGGGGATGGACATCTAGGTGTGTGAATCCCTCCCTCGGTCCCACCTTCAAACGGTCAGGGGCTGCAGGCATGTTGGATCAACTCCCTGTGCCTCAGATTTCTCATCTGGAAAATGCAGATAATAACAGTATAATCCCGGAGAGAACTGTGCCTGGCACGGGGTGGGTGCTCAGAATGTTTATTCATTCAACAAATATTTACTGAGCATCCACTATGTGCAGGCATCGTTCTTTCTAATAATGGTTTGCTATCACCATCTTACATCTTAGTACATATGAGATCCTTTGTGGAATAAACATACTTATTGAGCACTTACTATATGCCAGGTACCTTTTAAAATGCTTTACCTGGCCAGGCGAGGTGGGCTCACACTTGTAATGCCAGCACGCTGGGAGACCAAGGCAGGAGGACCGCTTGAGGTTTGAGATCAGCCCGGGCAACATAGAGAGACCCATCTCTACAAAACATAAGTTTAAAAAAATTAGCTTGGTGTGGTGGCACATGCCTGTAGTCCCAGCTACTCAGGAGGCTGAGGCAGGAGGATCCCTTGAGCCCAAGATTGCTTGAGGCTGCAGTGAGGTGTGATTGTGCCACCCTGGACAACAGAGTGAGACCCTGTCGCAAAAAAAAAAAAAAAAAAAAAAAGCGTTATCCATATTTACTCACTTAATCCTCACGACAATCCAAAGAGACTTCTTCCTCCTTTTACAGATGAGGAAGCTGAGGCCGGGAAAGGTGAAATCATTTGTTCAAGGTCACAGGGCCAACAAGTGGTGGAGCTGGGATTTGAACCCAGCAGGTGTGGCTCCAGCTGTTAACCAGCCTGTGGCTGTCAGGCCTGCGGAAGGAGTTGAGCAGGGTGGCTGGGGACAGGACAGGGTTCTCTGGGCCTAGGAAGGACTTGGGGTGGGGGTGGGGGCGGTGTCTGCTCGCGGGCATGTTGGGGAGAAGTCTGTGGGCACTCAGAAGTCGTCTCCGAGTCTCTGGGTGTTGAAGTGTGTGCGCGTGTGTGTGTGAGTCCATGGGAGGCTGTGAGTATGTGTGGGTGTGTGCGCGGCCAGGTGTGCACGCGTGCACGTGAGAGCGGAGTGTGTATGAGCGAGCCCGCGCGAGCGACGGTGCGAGCTCCCGGGCCCCGCCCCTGCGCCCTCCCCTCCTCGCGGGGTCCCGCGGGCCCCGGGCCCGGGACTACCACTCCCGGCATGGCCCGGGCGGGCCCGCCCCGCCGCCGCGATTGGCTGTGGCCCGCGTGCTCCCGCCCCCCGGGAATGAATGGATGGGCGGCCTCAGCGCCCGCCCGACCGCTGGGAGGACCGACCCGGCGGGGACCTGCTGGGGGCAGGACCCGGGGAGCAAGATGGCCACGGTCATCCCCGGCCCCCTGAGGTGGAGCGGGCCGGCGGGAGGCGGGGAAGGGCGCGCGGGCGGGTCGGCGCAGGCATGTGTGTCTGTGTGGCGGCTGGGGGTGGGGCCGATGGGGTGTCTGGGGGGCTGTCACCGTGTGCGGGGCTGCGCGGGGGTGCGAGCGTGTGTGACTACGGGTCTCAGGCAAGAACGGTGTCCGACTCGCCGTTCCTGGAGGGGTGGAGGGCGTGGGGGGACTCCAGATTCTTTTTGGGGAAGGGGGTCATCGTCCCCGCCCTGCGACCCTCGGGTCTGGGAGAGAGTGAGACGGCCTGCGGATGCGGGGGCCTTGGTAAACTCGAGTGAAGTCTACACTACCTTTGTCTTGGGATGTGGAGTGTGTGTGTATGTGTGTGTGTGTCACTTATTTGTGGTCTGTTTTTTTTTAAATATGTGTGTGGATATGTTTATGATTTCTTTTATTCTACGCTAGATATCTTTGGATATTTGGGTCTTTGAGTGTGTGTACATGTCCTCTGGAACTATGCATTATTTGTCTTGTGTTCTGTGTCTTTGGGTATTTAGGTATGGGTGTATTTGTGTGTAAATTTTTGTGTGAATATGGTGGATTTGAGTGTTTCTGTATTTCATATGTGTGTATCTGTGTGTTTGGATGTGCGATATTTTAGATATTGCTTTCTATGTTGTGTACCTTTGTGAATGTGTGCGTACCTGTGTGAATCTGTATGATTTCTTTGTATTGTGTGTTTGGATATTGTGTGTGGGTTGGTTTGTGTTGTGTCTTTGGATAGGTGTGTAAGTGCATATGTGTTTGTTTGTTTCTATAGTTTGTATAGTTCCTGCCTTTGACATTTGTGTATCCGAGTATCTTTGGTTACATGAGTGTGTGTGTTTGGTTGCTCGAGTGTGTGTGGTGTGATCTGTTTCCATGTTGTGTGTCTTCGTGTGGGTGATTTGTTTATGTTGTGTGTCTTTAGATATGTGATGTGTATTTGCGCATGGATATTTGTGTGATCTTTTTACACTATGTAACTTGGGGTATTTGTATTTTTCAGTAGCTATTTATGTGTGCACGTGTGTGAGATTTATCTCTTTCTCCTTTGTGAGTATTGGGATATGTCTCTCTTTGTGTGTGAATCCTGAGTGACTATGTGTGATTTGTTTGTGTTTGGATATGTTCATGTATGGATGGGTCCCGGTGTGTTTTTGTCTGTTTCTGCATCGTGTGTACCTACTCATTAGTTCGAGGCCTGCTCCAGTGCCTGGTTGGGGCCCCTTGGCCCTGTCCCCTCCCCCACCCTGGGTCCAGGAGGGGGAGGAGGGGAGAGGTGAAGTTGGAGGGGTCGGCCCACCCATCCCCAGGCCCACCCATCCCCAGCCGGGGCGGGCGGGGTGGCGGGCTGGGGGAGGGGTGCGGGGCGACGCCGCGCGCCTGCCCTTGCTGACAGCCGCCCGCCCGCTCACCGCCCCTCGTAGCCTAGGCGAGGACTTCTACCGCGAGGCCATCGAGCACTGCCGCAGCTACAACGCGCGCCTGTGCGCCGAGCGCAGCCTGCGCCTGCCCTTCCTCGACTCGCAGACCGGCGTGGCCCAGAACAACTGCTACATCTGGATGGAGAAGACCCACCGCGGGCCAGGTGCAGCTGGAGGGCGGGGGAGGGGCGGGGCTGGCCGCGACATCTCGGCCCCCTTCTCACCGCCCTGCTTGCCCCAGGTTTGGCTCCGGGACAGATTTACACGTACCCCGCCCGCTGTTGGAGGAAGAAACGGAGACTCAACATCCTGGAGGACCCGAGACTCCGGCCCTGCGAGTACAAGATCGGTGGGTAGAGCCGCTGTGGCCTCACCGCTGCCCCAGCACACGCTGAGCTGTCTGAGCCTCGCCTTTATCTTCCTTCTAGCGAGTGTCTGAATGGCTGGCTGTGTGTCTGCCCATGTGTCTTGGGTGCATTCCAGAGATTCTACAGTTTTCTCTGAGTCACTGAGCTTCGACTGTCTCCTCCTACGTTGGTCCAGGTGCCCAGGTGTATTGGAGGGCGTAGTGATGTCTGTTAGGTGTGTCCAGGTGTAGGGAGTCTCTGGCCGCGTCTCCTCCCCTATGAGCAGGGATGCGTTTTTTCCTGTGGGTGCCTGAGGATGTCCGGTTCTTTATCTCCCGGTGTGTGTCTAGGTGTGTCGGAGTGTCTGGTGGGATCTCTCCATTCCTAGCTGCATGTATCAGGGTGTCTCTTCCCAGGTGTTGCCAGGTGTCATAGAAGGTTTATTTCTTCTCGTGTGTGTCTGGTCCATCAGAGCATCCTGCGCTTCCCACACGTGTCTGGGTGCATCAGGGTGTCTGTCGGCTGTCTCTTCCTGTGAGTGTCCCGATGCCTCCGAGTGTCTGGGACAATCTCTTCCCAATAGCGTCTGGTGCGTTAGGTGCATTTCTGCACGTGTGTGCTGGGCCATCAGTGTCTGGACTTACTGCTTGAGTGTGTCCCGGACTATCACAGTCACTGGCTGTTTCTGTCCCCCTGTCCAGGTGTCTCCGAGGGTCTGTATGTACCCAGGAGTGTTGAGTGCCCACCCGGCTCTGTGTCCCTTCCTGTGTGTGTGTGTGTGTGTAACCATCTGAGTGATTCTCCGCGAGTATGTCTGTGTCTCCTCCATCCGTGTCCACATGTGGATGTAGGCATGTCTGCTGGTCTAATGTCTCTTTCTGCATGTCTCTGGGTGTCTAGATACGTCTCCCCCATATGTCCCGGTGTATCCAAGGATCTGGCTGTGTCTCTGAGTGTCTAGGTGTATCTGAGAGACTGCTTGTGTCTCTTCCTTTGTGTGACTGTCTCAGAGGATCTGGCTGTGTCTCCTGTGTGTGTTCACGGGCATCCTATTGGAGTGTCTGTATCTATTTACATCTGGGGCTATCTGAGGGCTGGAGGGGTCTCCCACATGTGGACTTAGGTATATGCGAGGGTCTGGGTGTGTCTGATGGCCTGTGTCTTTTTCTGAGAGTTTCCCGGCTGTATCCCAGGTTCTGGCCATGTCTCCTCCTGAGTGTGTCTGAGCGGATCTCGGGTGTGGCTGTGTCTTCTCGGGGGTCTGGGATCCTTTCCCGAGTGTGTGGTTAGCTGAGTGTGGGAAAGTCTCTTCCCTCCCACAGTCAGCACGGTCCCCCGGCCTGGGCAGTTTGAGGAGTCCTCCAGGGACAACTTGCCCACTTGACCCTGCCCCCATGGCCCTGTCCCCAGATTGTGAGGCGCCCCTGAAGAAGGAGGGTGGCCTCCCGGAAGGGCCGGTCCTTGAGGCTCTGCTGTGTGCTGAGACTGGGGAGAAGAAGCTGGAGCTGAAGGAGGAGGAGACCATTATGGATTGTCAGGTAGGCCCCCAAGGGGCCCCAGCTACTGTCTGGCACATCACCCACCTGCTCTGAACCCTCCCTGGCTCCCTGGGCCTGCAGGTGTCCTGAGTCTCCATCCGCCCAGACTTCCTTTCTTTGTGGAAGAGCTCCGGACTTGCCCTCCCACCCCCAATCTCAGCCTCTGCCCAGGGCCCCTCAAAAGCACATCAGGGCCCCTGCTTTCTTGACTCATTCCCTTCTCCTGGTGCCCAGAAACAGCAGTTGCTAGAGTTTCCGCACGATCTCGAGGTGGAGGATTTGGAGGATGACATTCCCAGGAGGAAGAACAGGGCCAAAGGAAAGGTACCACCCTCCAGCTTCTCTTCCCCGCTCCCCTCAACGACAGATCCCCTGTACTGAGTATGCACGATGGCCAGCCCCTGCTACAAGTCTCAAGTCTGACCTCATTTAATCCCCAGAGGGGTGAGGAAGTTTCTTCTCTGTTCTTTTTTTTTTTTTTTTTCTTAGAGATAGGGTCTCATTCTATGGCCCAGGCTGTAGTGCAGCGATCATAGCTCACTGTGACCTTGAACTCCTGGGCTCAAGTGATCCTCCTGCCTCAGCCTCCTGAGTAGCTGGGACTACAAATGTTCACCACTGGCACCTGGCTAATTTTTAAATTTTTTGTAGAGATGGGGTCTCACTATGTTGCCCAGGCTGGTCTTGAACTCCTGGACTCGAGATCCTTCTACCTTGGCCTCCCAAAGCACTGGGATTACAGGCATGAGCCACCGTACCTGGCCAAGAAGTAGGAGATTTTATATCCATTTTACAGATGAGGAAACTGAGGCTTCAGAGCCATTTGCAAAACAGAGATTGTACAGTGGATTAGAACTATCTTTATACCTGTACCACAGATGGGGAAACTGAACTTCAGACAGGTTCAAGGCCCCACAGCTAGGAAGTTTGCATAGCTGCAACTTGACTTTCCAACCCAAATGATGAAAACTGTTTCCTCACTTTCTTGCCCCCTAACTCGCAGGCATATGGCATCGGGGGTCTCCGGAAACGCCAGGACACCGCTTCCCTGGAGGACCGAGACAAGCCGTATGTCTGTGATAGTGAGTCCTTCTGAAGAGGGGGAAAGAGAGAGAGAGGGGGAGGGGCCCAGAGACCTCGCCCCTCGTGGCCTCTCCCTCCCGTTCTGGGCCTGGGTGGGGGACGCTCAGGTCTCTGGCAGAGGGGGTGTGATCCTGCAGCCAGGGTGGAGGTGGCGTGGGCTCGCAGGGGCCGACCAGCCCTCCCCACTCGCTCGCTCGCTCTCCAGTCTGTGGGAAACGGTATAAGAACCGGCCTGGGCTCAGCTACCACTACACCCACACCCACCTGGCAGAGGAGGAGGGGGAGGAGAACGCTGAACGCCACGCCCTGCCCTTCCACCGGAAAAACAACCATAAACGTGAGCAGGCAGGCCAGGTGGGGGTGGCGAGGGGCCCCAGGAGTGGGGCCCGAGAAGCCTGGTGGGGTGGGGTGGGGGGGTGGCATATTAGACATTTCTGGAAAATCTCCAGCTCAGCGGTTCCCTCCCCCCACCGACCATGGGGATGCTGGCTCTGGGGTTGCCATGGCAACCAACCATCTCTCCTTCGCTCCCGGCCGGGCGTAATATTTCTGGGTCTGATTTATTGTTTCAATTAGAGCTTGGGGAGGGGGGTGATAGATGACTCCCCTCCCGCCCTGCCTCCCTCTCTCCCTTCTCTGCTAAGCTCTGGCCGAGGGGCAGGGCCTGTGGCCCGGGGAGCCCTTGGCGTCCGCCCATGCCAATCCCATGCCAACCCTGACAGCTGAGGGGTGGGGGAGGGGCGGAGGGCCTGGGGAGGCTGAGCCGGGGGAGACGCCGTCTTCCCACCCTCCCTTGGAGGGAGAGGGCGAGTCTCTTCGCCCCACACCCACTCCACACCCAGGCACCTCTGTGCTCAGAATTTTCCTTCTGAGTCTCTTTCCACACCAGATCTCGGCCAGTGGTATCTCCTGAATGTTGGTCTCGTCAGGGCTTGGTTAGGGGAGCTGCCTGGTAGCTGTGTGTTCGAGAAGGCGGCAGAGGGCCCTTCCTAAAGCTGTATTCGCCAAGTTTTTGCCCAATAAAGAGGACATGTCAGTTGTCTCAAAGAGTTTGGGGTGCTGATGAGATTTGCACCCCAAAAGAGGGCGAGCAACCCTCTTTTGCTACTGGCCACAGCTCGGGGTAGCAATTCTCTCCCCACCTCCCCACTGCCTGGACCAAGGGGTCCACCCCTGGGGCTGAGGCTGCGGGCAGGGTGGAGCCTGGCCTGTGGTGAGAGCCCCTCTCTCTGTCCCCCACCCCCAGAGTTTTACAAAGAATTGGCCTGGGTCCCTGAGGCACAAAGGAAACACACAGGTAGGGACGCCTCCCTCCGCTCCCACTTCCGCGGCAGCCTCTGGCCGGGTGCGCTGCCACCCCGCCAACGCCCGCCCGCTGTCTTCCAGCCAAGAAGGCGCCCGACGGCACTGTCATCCCCAACGGCTACTGTGACTTCTGCCTGGGTGGCTCCAAGAAGACGGGGTGTCCTGAGGACCTCATCTCCTGTGCAGACTGTGGGCGATCAGGTGACACTCCTCCACCCGAGGATTTTGGGGGCTGGGGTGGGGAGGACGGCCAGGTATGCAGACCTGGAGGACAGGGGCAGGGGGGTGAGGGCTGTGGGGACCCGGAGCATCGCAGGGGCCCTGTGGGTAACCAGAGCCCATGGGGCTGCCTCAACTGCTGAGAATTGTGGGAAAGAGTAGGGCCAGTGAGTCTTTGGGGACAATGGGATGTGGCAGTCCTGGCACTGAGAGTAGTGGCATGTGCTTCTCATGGCTTGGACAGTAGGGAGAGAAGGTTGCCAAGGCAACCGCGACGCAAGCACTGGACGGCCACTGCCTGGCTCTGTGGCTGACAGAAGTGCTGGCCACGGGACAGTGCTCAATAGAATGTGGTTTCCCATGGCGGACTGTGGTCATCGACTGTGGTCGCCCCAGCACAGCGGGGAATGAATTGTGGTTGTCATGGTATCGTGGGTGGTGAGCTGCGGCTGTCGTGGCAGTTTGGTGTAATGGAACGTAGCTGTTACGGCACGGGTCAGTGGCTGCGGGTGTCTGCGCGGTGGCAGAGGAATGACTAAGAGGCTGGCACTCGCAGTATTGTTCCTAACAGTCTGGTTGCTGGGGCATCGTGTGGGACGGGCTTCAGTAGCATGGGACCAAGGTGTGGGGACCCGTTGTGGAAGGTGGTTGCCGCGGCATCGCGGCCGGGAGGACAGGGTTGCCGTGCTGCTGCGGCCGCTCTGCTGCAGGCAGTGGAATGTGGCCGTCCCAGCACGGCGGTTAACAGAATGTGGTTGCCACAGTGTTGTGGGTGGTGGAAAGCGGTTGCCACAGCACTGTGGGTGATGGAATGCGGTTGCCATGGCATCCTGCGGAGCAGAGTGTGGTTGCCATGGCGGCTGGGCGGGAGACTGTGGTGGCCACGGTACCGCTGCCTGCTGGTCACCATGGGCAGCTGGGGGTCGGGCTGCGGAGGGCAGAGCGCGTCCTGGCTGGCCTTATGAGCCGGGGTGGGGCTATGCCACGTCCTCCCTCGGGGTCGGTACCCACCAGGGGCACGATGACCCCCTAACCGCATCCCTGCCCCTCGGCCCCCAGGACACCCCTCGTGTTTACAGTTCACGGTGAACATGACGGCGGCCGTGCGGACCTACCGCTGGCAGTGCATCGAGTGCAAGTCCTGCAGCCTGTGTGGCACCTCGGAGAACGACGTGAGTGCCCGCCCGCCTGCCTGCCCGCCTGCCACCCCGCAGGCCCCGCTGTCCTCCCCGCCTGGCACCGCCACCCTTGCCAGTTGAGCCTAAGGCCCCTCCCGGGAGCCCCTCCCTGGCGAACACCAGTAACAAGTATTATTACTGCTGCCCGTGTCCATTCACTGAGCCCGGCGCTTTTTACTCTTCCCCTCTGACTCCTCCCGGGCACCTCTGAGGCAGGTGCTCTTGTTCCCACGCCACAGAGAGGGAAAATGGCCTGCCCTAAGGCCACCCAGCTGGGGAAATGGAGGAGCCGGGATTTGAACCCGTGTCCATTGCTTGCAGCGCTGGTATCAGATTATCTTGGTATCATTTAAAGCCTTGCACAGTCTTACAAACCCAGGTACCAAGTTGTAAACTGACAGTCCTCAGGGGTGGTTTTGCTTGGCCAGGCAGCGTCTTGCGAAGATTCCATGACGCAAAGACCATCTCAGAGCCCCCCTCTCCTCCCCCAGCCCCTGTGCCCGAGCCCCTGCCCCAGCCCCCCACCCCGGTTTCTGGTGCCCGTGCCCCCAGGGTGCCAGCTGGGCGGGTCTCACCCCCCAGGACCAGCTGCTGTTCTGTGACGACTGCGATCGGGGTTACCACATGTACTGCCTGAGTCCCCCCATGGCAGAGCCCCCGGAAGGTGAGAGAAGAGGTGGGCACGACGTGGGGGTGGGCGGGCTGGCAAGTTGTCTGCCAGTTGGTGAAGACCACATCCTCTGGGTGGGAAGGACCTGGGCCCGGGCCTAACGCCATCCTCTGGCCACCCCCGCAGGGAGCTGGAGTTGTCACCTCTGTCTTCGGCACCTGAAAGAAAAGGCCTCTGCCTACATCACCCTCACCTAGGCGTGGCTCCGGCCCACCTGGACCTCTGGAGCGGTGCTTGTCTACCTGCCTCTCCGAGCTCCTCTTCTCTGCCCGCCCCAGGCCCCACGGGGGAGGAGGGAGGGGGAGGCCCGAGAGGAGGCCGGGCCACCCCTGCCCTCTGTGCGAGTGGGATGTCTGCCCTGCGGGTTGCTGGGCCCAGCAGGACCCCTTCCCCTCCGCCCCATCCCTTGGCAAGTGGGCACTGGGGCTTCTGCTCCCCTCAAAGCCATACCCCGCCTCTGGGCGGGCATGGGGGGTGGTGGGTGCCAGCCGCGGGCATGGACAGAGCCTTTTTCTAAAGAAAAAGACAAAAAGTAAAAAAAAAAAAAAAAAAAAAAAAATTAATATATACAAAGAGTCCTCTAAGGCCTGGCTGGGTGGAGGGGGCGCTGCTGAGAGCATCCACTGGGCACCAGTCTATGCCGGCCTCCCGCCTGGCGCCCCCTACCCCCAGTTTCTGGAGTTGCAGCTGTCCCACCTCCCCACCAAGGTGGCACCATGCCCCTGTGCCCAGGGCGGGCGGGCATGGTGTCCACCCCTCGCCCCCTCCCGGTGCCCACCGTGGATACTGCATGACGTGAACCATGGTTTTGAACTCTGTTCCCGCCCCTCCCCGGTCACCCCACCTCTGCCCACCGCGTGCACCGCCGTGGCTGGCGGGTGGCAGTGGGGCAAGGCGGGCCCCTGCTCAGCGCCTGCTGGAATGAGAAGCACAGACTCTGCAACGGACTCGTTTCCCTCCTCCCCTGCCCTCGTCCCTGCCCTGCCAGGCCTGGCTGCCCCCTGCCACCCTCGCTGGCCATTTCGGGGGTAACGAGGGGGCGCGGTTGTTTCTTGTGGTTGTGTGTGTTTGTTGTTCCGGGTTTAAAAAAAAGGGAAATTGAGACTGCAGGTGGGGGAGGAGGTGGGTTTGGGGGAACCTCCCCCAATCCAGGAGTGCCCCCCGCTTGTCGCCGAGTCTCCTTTATTGCCTGCCTCTGCTGTGAATTAACTTGTTCTGTGTATTAAACTGGGCCTGACCCCTCTGCCCACGACTGCCTCGTTCTCCGGCCTGGTTTGGGGAGTCACCCAGAAGGGGAGACGGGGCCTCGCTGGCTGAGCCGGCCCCTCCCTCCATCCTCCCCCTGCGCTGCCTCTCCCGCTTTGTCCCAGCTCCTCCCAGCCTAGCCGGAAAAGAGAAGGGGGATGGGGTGGAGGGGCTCCCACCCAGCCAGCTGTGGTTGCCCTGGCAACGGACTGCTGCAGCTGCGGCAGGAGCGGTGAGGGGGAGGCGGTTGGGGCTGGGGGAGGGGCAGGGATGGGGCGATGACGAGGGCGGCCCCTCCCGGGCTGGGCTGGGGAACGGGGTGTCCGCAAGTGTCATCCACTAAAACATCACCTGGAGCTCCGTCCTGATGTGAGGCAAAGAGTGGTGGGGACAGGGCGGAAGAGGAGATATCTAGACAGAGGGACACTGAGACAGAGACTGGGATTTGGGTGATGGGGGGTGAGGAGGGAGAACCAGGACATGGAGATCAGGAGAGAGAGATTCTGAGACTCAAAGATTTATGGGGAGAATCGGAAAGAGCAGGAGCGCCCAGGAGGGAGGGCGAGATGGGGAGAGCGCAGGAACGGGGGGAAGTCAGGAGAGAGCAGAACAGAGGAGAGCTGGGGATTTAGTGGGAGAGAGGAAATAACAGTAATAAAAAATAGCTGACACCCTGGGGAGAGACAGAGCAGGAGACAGTGATCTGGAGAGAGCAGCAGGAGAGAGAGGAAACGGAAATTAGGAGAGGGGAGAAGAGGGGAGTCAAACGTGGGGACAAAGTCAGGATCCAGAGACAGGCAAAGTCCAGGACAAAAGACAGAGAGACGTGGACTTCAGGGGAGAGATGGGCACAAGAATTTCGGCACCAACAGAACAATCTGGAGAGAGCCCAAGGCCCAGAGGGATCCAGAAAGACTGGGCGAGGAGAGCCTGCGATGGGCGGGAGGCGGGAAGACAGGAGGGTCCCTGCCAGGCAGGGGAAGCTGGAAACTGGGGCAAGGCGGGAAGGGCCGAGCAGCGCGGTTCAGGCGCGACCAGGCGCTGGTGTGCGCGAGAGTTGTGGGGCGTTGGAAGTGGCTTGTGTCTCGGGCGCCAGGAGAGGATGTGAGAACAGTGTGTTCCGAGGCTTCCGCCCCCCTTGCCAGTGGTGGGGGGGCAGGGAAGCGCCGGTTGAGGACAGGGCCTGAGACCCAGAGTGTGTCTGGAGAACTCTAGAAACTCTAGAATTTTTAGGAGCCAAGGGAATGGCTAGTCCTCCTGGATGTCAGCCCCACGCCTTTTGGAAAAAGACATTTTTTGGGAGGTGAGGGTCTGAGTCAGAGATGCCTCGGGTGGATTTTAGCTCAGAGATGTAAAACTCAGTGACAGGTGGGTGGGTGAGGGTCAGCAGGACCCCGCCCGGCCAGCCCTGTCGAGGCCAGGATGCCGCCCAGATCCAGGCTGGACTCCCAGGAGGCCAAGCTCTGGGATCTGCTCTTGGGTTTGACTCCGATTCCCACTCCAACTGCAAGTGTTCTCCAGGTCAGATGCAGACCTGGGCCAGGAGGAGCCGCTTTCTACCCCACTCACCCATGGCCAACTGGTAGAAAGAGCTCTGCCCCCCTCCAAAGGGAGCAGAATGGGCGGAGTGTCGCAAATGCAACAACGGTGGCCTGGGTGGGAGACCAGTCCACAGAGGCAGAGCTGCAAAGGGCAGGTCTACGCCACTGGAAATCTGGCTTTTCAGATTTTTAAAAGCTGGCCACTATTTCTTTTTTTTGAGACGGAGTCTCACTCTGTTGCCTGGGCTAGAGTGCCGTGGCGTCATCCTAGCTCACAGCAACCTCAAACTCCTGGGCTCAAGCGATCCTCCTGCCTCAGCCTCCCAAGTAGCTGGGACTACAGGCATGTGCCATCATGCCCGGCTAATTTTTTCTATTTCTAGTAGAGACGGGGTCTCGCTCTTGCTCAGGCTGGTCTCAAACTCCTGAGCCCAAGCGATCCTCCCGCCTTGGCGTCCCAGAGTGCTAGGATTACAGGCGTGAGCCACTGCGCCAGGTTGGCCACTATTTCTAAAACCAACACAACTCCGTGAGCCTCCAATATGACTTCTATAGAATCTTGCTCTCTTTTTAAACGTAAGAAATTTTACATTTTGAGCACTGGATTTCTGTTGTTTGGGTTCCAAGGAAAAGAAGTTCACAAGGCTGGTGTCCCCTGGTTCTTAGTGAGTATGTAGTGTGGGGTGCGTATGTGCTGGTGACGGCTGTTTGGGATGGGGGGGCAGCAGGAGGGGGCCGGTGTTGGACCACACCCTCTTGTCAGTGGCTCCAGGCAGCTGCCCAGCTAGTGAACACACAAGCCGTTTCTATGAAACATTTATTTCCTTTGAAACCTCCAGAAACATGCCAGAAAATGTCAAGACAGGGATGGGGAAAAAAAAAAAAAAAAGACAATAAAGAATAATAAAAAATCCAAATGAAACAAATCAACATATGAAAAAAATCCTGCTATCTTCAGCCACTGGATAGATCACCAACCTCAAATTAAATAGATTTGTTTTGCAGAAGTCCTTTAAAAATAACAGAAAACAAAACCAAAAATCATAACTTACACTTGTCAATGTACACGATTAGGTCCCCAAAACGATTCGAATGATCTGAAGATGAGGAAACTACTTAAAAAAAAAAAAAAAAAAGGGCTCCAGGTTGGGGTCTGAGGAAAGGAGTGGGGGCGGGGAGAGCCCCCCAGAAAAGGGGGTCAGGGAAGGAGAGACATCACAGTAGTTGGCCAGGGCTGAGGACAGTGGCTGAGCGCCCGCCCGGCGCCCACCTCACACCGCGGGGGAGAGGAGCGAGCTGAGGTTTCTGCTCGACTGCGGGGCTGTGGGCGGGACACAGGCTGATCACAGGAGATGCGACAGTACCCTCTTCTCTCGCCCCCACCCATCCGGCCTGGCACCTCCCTGAGCGCCTGCGTCTTGTGCAGTCCCCAGAGCCCCCTTCCCTGAGGTTCCTGGCCCCAGAGAGAAGGCGGCGGGTCCCTGGGCGAGGGCTGGGCTGCCTGGCGCTGGCGCACGGCCCGGAGCGTGTCGCTCGGAGCCAGGCCCGCTCTGCCAACTCCTCCCTGCCTGCTGCCTCCCAAAAGGGAAGCTGCCTGCCCGCCCACCCTGACTTTGTCCCTCTGAGTCCTCCCACTGACCCCCAGCCCACGGGGGACACGCCTCGATCCTCGGCTTGAGGTTGGGGGTATCCACAGACTGTGGCCGTACACACTTGTTCTGGCGCAACTCTACATGAAAAAATAAATATATATATATATTTTTTTGTTTGTTTTTAAAGAAGGAAAAAAAGAGACTTTCCTGGGTGAACAGCGTAGTACCGCGTGGGCTCGGCTGCCTGGCGAGCGGCCCTTATTGCCTTGAGAGAACCAGCGGCCGGTGGGGTCCGCACGGCGGCGCCCGGGAGCACAGTGAGGGCGTCGGGTGGGCGCCGCCGGGCCGGGCCGGGCCGGGAGAACAAAAGCAGAGAAGGAGATGAGGCTGGTTTTCTCCAGCCCGGTCCTGAGGGCGTCACGAGCCCTTCCCGGAGCCCGGAGGCCGGAGGCGGCGTGGCTGCTGGTCCAGGGCGGCGCTGGGAGGAGACGGTGGGCTGCGTGGCCGCTCGGTTGTCTGGGCCTGGCCGGGTCGGCAGCTCGAAGGTTGGGGGGCCTATGGGCCCCAAGCCCTGGCGCTGTGGCCTCTGGCGGAGGAGCTGATAGAAGAAGATCGTATAAAGCGTCCCGACTGTACGAAGAGAGTTCCTCTCTCAGAGACGCCGACCGGATGCCGGGTCTTCCTTTCTCCGTCCTGGGGCCCCCAAGGAAATAATTTAAACTCTAAGAAAGTGCTCCTGGCTGCTTTTTGGAAGGAGGGCGTTGGGAGGGGATAACGTTCGTGCTTTTTGGAGCTAGGGTGCTGGGGACCGAGGAGCCGCGGTCTGCTCCCTCTCTGGGTGTGGGGGAGAAGGGGCTGGTTCCACGCTGAAGTTTTCACGCAGGGGCTGCGCCCCGAAAGCTGCTGCTCTGTTGATCGCGGTGAGGAAACCTGGCTTGTGAGCTCCCCGAGCTGCGGGGTTTGGAGACCGACTCCTGCCCCATCCCAGCAAGAAGCTCTAGATGGGGACAGAGAACAGGTCCCGGGGCAGTGTGGACATGGCCCAGCTCACAGGGACCACAGGTGGGCAGCCCAGAGGGGGCTTGAGGGCCACGGGCACACCCTGGCTCACAGGTCCCACTGCCATCGGCTCCCGAGTCCACAGGGAGGACCGCAGGGGCAGTCGGTGGCCGGGCCTGGCTGGGTGGTCTTGGCGCCGAGCAGAGGGGCAGAGGGGCAGCAGCCCACCGCCTGCCGGCAGGGAAGGAGCCAGCGCCTGGGGTGGAGGGTGGCCGCAGTGGTGGCCTCTCCGCCTCAGAGCTCCTTCTTCTCCCTGCAGAAGATCTCGGCGAACTTGCGCAGCTGCTCGCTGGCGGCCTGCGACTCCTCCTGCAGCCGCTGGTTGTTCTGCCGCAGGCTGGCGACTTCCGACTGCAGCACGACCTTGTCTTGCTTCTCCTGCGTGGGGCGGGAGGGCTGGGTGTCAGGCGGGCGGCTTGGGGGCTCCTGGGTGCTCCGAACAGCGAATGGCCCCCTGGGGCCTGCGAGCCCCAGCCAGACTCTGGTCTGGAGCCGACTGCTAGAGCCAGGCTGCGGGGCTCAGACCCCACAGCTGAGTCGCCCTGGGCAAGTCGCTTCCTCTCTCCGCCCCGGTGCCCTCAACTCTAAAAGGGGTGGTTGCGAGGTTTCCTGAGGTCATACACATAAAGCTCTCAGGACCCCTCCTGACATGGAGCAATTGTTATCACTATTATTATTGTCACCTCATCCCACCCTCGCAGCCACCCAAGGACTTAGGGACTGTTGTTATCCTCCCCTTCCTGGAAGAAGAAACCAAGCCGCACACAGCAAGTGGGGGGCTGGGCTGCGGACGCAGGACTGCCGGAGCAGCTGCT